TGGAACCGTTCAATACACCCATTTGATTGTGGGTGGTAGGCAGTCGTCTTGATGTGCTGCACCCCAAGCGTTGTGTTGAGCTGGCGGAACAACTGGCTCTCAAATTGTCGGCCTCGGTCGGTGGTTATGGTTGCTGGCACACCAAAACGGGATATCCATATTTCGAGGAGTTTCTCTACCACTACTTCGGCAGTCATTTCCTGGATAGGGATGGCCTCGGGCCACCTTGTAAATCGGTCGATAATGGTGAGTAGGTATCGGAAGTTGTGGCTTGGTGGGAGTGGTCCTACTATGTCGATGTGTATGTGGGCAAAACGGTCATCGGGCATTCCTAGTGGTGCTACAGGAGTGACTGTGTGGCGTCCTACCTTGGCACGTTGGCATTGGATGCACTCTCGTGACCATTCCTTAACTTGGCGGTTCATGTTGTGCCACACAAATCGGTCTGCGATCAGTCGGAGTGTAGCAGCATGCCCTGGGTGCGACTGGTTGTGGAATTTGCGGAAAACGTCCCTCTGAAAACCGGCTGGTACATACACCCTAAGGCGCCCATCTTGAACTGAACAGTAGAGAGGTCGTTCGGTGTCTGATGTGATGATGCGTTGGAGGTGTAGGGAGCTGGCAGGATCATGTAGGATCTGTTGTAGGCTCTCGTCTGTAGTTTGGGCTTCAGCGAGCCTGTCAAAGTCGATGGTTATAGGCGCTGCGAGGGCGTCTACCTCAGGTCGCGAGAGACCATCAGCGACAATGTTTGCTGCACCTTGGACGTGTCGGATGTCGGTGGAAAATTGGCCAATAAATTCGAGCTGCCGAATTTGTCGTGGGGACTGGCGGTCGTGACGCTGCTGGAAGGCGTATGTCAAAGGCTTATGGTCAGTGTAGATTGTGAACTGAGTGCCCTCGAGGAAATGGCGGAAATGGTGGATGCCACTGAATATGGCCAACAGCTCACGGTCGTAGGTACTGTAATTTCGCTGTGTTACGGATAGCTTTTGTGAGAAAAAGGCTATGGGTTGTAGGTGTTCGTCGACCAGTTGTTGCAGTACACCACCAATTGCGGTGTCGGAGGCGTCGACTGACATGCTTAACTGGGCCTGTGGTGCTGGGAAGACCAACTCTGCAGCGGTGGCCAAGAGTTCTTTAACTCTGGAGAAGGCAGCTGCTGCTGCTGGGGTCAAGCTGAGGTCTTGTTGCTTTTTTTTCTGATGGGCCAATAGCTCGGTTAGTGGCATGAGCTCGGTTGCAGCGCTTGGTAACCAGCGTCGGTAAAAATTGACCATTCCCATGAAGCGGCGTAGCTGTTTGTACGTTGTGGGTTGTGGAAAGTCTCGGATGGCACTGACTTTAGCCGGCAAAGGTCTGACACCAGTCGGAGAGACAATGACGCCCAGAAAATGGGCTTCACGGGTCCGGAATTTAGATTTCTCCAGGTTGATTTGAAGCCCGTTCTCTTTTAGGATCCGTAGGACTGATGCCAGGTGCTGTTCGTGTTCAGCTTCCGTCGTGGAGGCTACCAGGATGTCGTCGATGTAAATGTAAACAAAGGGGCACCCTCGGAAGAGGTGGTCGAGGTAGCGCTGCAGTGTCTGGGCGGCGTTTCGTAAGCCAAAGGGCATCTTTAGAAATTCGTACAGGCCAAACGGCGTGATCACAGCCGTTTTCTGTACATCTCTAGGGCGGACTGGGATCTGGTAAAAAGCACGTATGAGGTCAATGGTCGAAAAGATTTTCTTGCCATGTAGCTGGTTTGGTAATGGCGTTCAGTCGGCGGAAATCTCCGCAAGCACGCCACTGGCCGTTGGCTTTTTGTACCATGTGAAGTGGGCTGGCCCATGGAGATTTTGATGGCTGAACTATGTGTGCTTGCATCATGTCGTTGAACTCGGCTCGTGCGGCTTGTAGGCGGTCTGGCGGGAGCCTACGTGGTTTGGAGAATACCGGGGATCCTTGGGTATCAATGTAGTGCTGGACTTTTCCAGGATTATCAGACATACCAGTTGAGCGATCGTAGGGGTGGGCCGTCGATAGCCCCACTTCCGGCTCCTTCACTGTTCGGGACACACATGCAATGCTGCTCGGAGCGGTGGGACTAACAAGGCGCTTTCTGCGCATGTCTACGGTGATGCCATGTTGTGTGAGAAAGTCAGCGCCTAGGATGGCGGTGGTGACGTCTGCAACTACAAAGGTCCACGTGACCGGTTGGCCAAGACCGAGGTTCAACTCCAATTGCTTATGCCCATACGTTCTGATACGGGAACCAGTGGCGGAGTACAGGCTGATAGTGCTTGGTTGTGTAGCGGTGCAGATCTTACGTGGCAGCACACTTAGGTCAGCTCCGGTGTCGATGAGGAACTGGAGTTGGAGCAGTTTATCTGTCACGAACAGGCGACGGTGTCTATGGGAGGCCACGGTTGTCGCCACTACTGCGCCCCCTGGTCGTTTTTTGAATAAGTGCATGGGGGTCTGCACTTCTTGGCTTGCGGGCCAAACCTTCGGTGGTAATAGCACTGCCCATCAGCGACTGCAGTGTTGGTTGTTCGGGCAGGTCGAGGTTCCTGCGATTTCTCGTCGACACTTAATTTCGCAGACAGAGCTCTTATCTGGTCGCCTAGTTCAGCTACAGTTTTCTCTAAGGTGGGCTTCTCCTCAATAGACATAACTGGAAGGCTGTTATTGCGTATGAACTTGTCAGCCTTCTTCGCCAGCTCTTCTAGGTCTCCATCCAGGACGGATATTACCCCTCGGACTTGGGGCGGTAGGCGGTCGAGCCACAGATTTTTCAGTACCTCTGTACTTACATTGGTGGTGGCTAGGGCTTGCATGCGATGGAGAAGCTGGGTCGGCTTGAAATCACCCAAGGTTATCTCCAGCAGTCGGCGGGTTCTTTCATCAGCACTAGTACCGTATCTTTCGAGAAGGCGGGTTTTTAGATCTTCATAAGAAGTACCTCCAGTTGGGTTTCGTATTATGTCGGCTACCTCTGATAGGACCTCGCTGTTTAAACTAGTCACCGTGTGGTCAAACTTACAGTTGTCTGTTGTTATCTTTGCTTGCCGAAACTGGGCTTCGAGTCGAAGGAACCATAGTTCTGGTTCGGCGCACCAAAATTCTGGCGCTTTGATCCCTACACGGGCGATTATGGTCTGATCGTCGGTTGGGTCCATGGCGTCGTCGTTGGCCGTGTGGGTGTGAATTTTGGGGCACTGCACACGCGGTCAAGAGTCAAGGTTCTTTGGATGGTAGCACGTCGCACTCACGCGTTTGTCGGGGTCACCACTGTGGCCGGTTTGCGGCGGGCAAATAAGGCGCACTGATCAACTTAATTAATCTACTGTTTATTTATGCCAAATACAAAAATAAAACATCGGTAAAAAATGAAAAAATAGAAATTGTTCGGGCGTGTTGTTTTATTATTCGAGCGGGCGTCGGACCTGTCAGTCATCAGCTGGCCGGGACTCGGAGACAGTTGACGTTCCTACCGCTGGTGTACCGCGTTGCCGCTCCCTTTGCATGGTTGCCAACGGATCTGGGGCGGACATCCGCCACATATAATTTAACATAACCTTAAACGACACTGCGGTGAGTTCAAGTAATATGTAAATTATTAATTTGCTCTTTGTCGAATTACACGTTACAAAGAAAGAAGGAACGATTCATTCTGAACTGGCCCCTGAATAAGAATATGACGTAAGCCTGTAAGAAACCTGCTTCTCATTGGACGCTCACCTGCAGCCTACTACAGTGACTCTATAACCCACAGTGGCGACAATTGCTGTCTTATTTTTGATTGGTTCAAAAATCCCATATATTTATATTGAAAATGCCGCCATCTTGTTCCCAACCCCTTGTTACTTTTAAATATGAATATATGGGATTTGGGTGAACATCCATCAAAATCATGGAAAACAACGTATTTGATGGACCTAATAATGGTCATCAAATACGTCGATTTCAATTTTTTATGATAGATGTCCATTTAAATCCTATATATTAATATTTAAAAGTAACAAGAGGTTGGGAGCAAGATGGCGGCGGGACCTCTATTGTCGCCACTGTATGTAAAGGTTTATTTAGCCACTGTACAGCCTACAAGCGACGCGCGCAGTCCAGGGCTGCGTTCAGGAATGGCTACAGCCAAGCTGAAATTGGCATTTTGCGTTCGAGTTCGGCTCCAACCTACGTGGTTCAGCATTACCTGGTGGAGGGGGAAAAGTAGGTTTTGGCATTAGCATTGCCATCCTTGAACGCACCCCAGGTAATAGGAGATCGGTCTATTGATGAAACCTGTGAAGGTAAATATGACAAAACTTTGGAAAACGTCATATTATGTCAGCGAGTAACAGAAAAAAACAACATTTCCCCTTGTGGCATCTGTATTTCATGGCTTAATTTTTTTGGCAGATATGGCAATGTGTGCGCATTCCAGTTTTTAGCTATAGTTCATTGGATTGCCCTATTAGTTGTATTCCTTTCAAGAGATTGAAACACTCGAGCTACTCGTTCCGGTGTTCAGTCGCCCCCGATTTGCAGGGAACAGATGCGTGGCGCAACAAACACTTTTCGAAAGGAATAAGCGCGTGAAGCCCCGGAGCTGTTCCGGAGCTCCTCCTAGGTGTGAAAGGAATACAACTACTGTCGCAAGGCTATTGTCGAAATTCCTTTACCACAAATATATAAACGTTGATTAAAAACAAATCACTGATTAGCTAATCACTGTTTACGGCGAAGACGGAACAAACGGGCAACTTTTGCTTGACGCAAATGGCCATTAGGTATATTAATTCACATTCTAAACAACTCTTTTTATAGATTTCATTTGCATCATCCTCTTTGTCTATTCTGTTGTTTTCATCATAAATTTAAATTCTAATCTATGACCGCTGCAGCAAACAGCTGACGACTTAGTTAATGACGTCGACAATGGTGCTATACCAATATGGCCGCGATTACAAAACGAGGCCGATAAGCAATCCTTTAGTAGTGTGTATTATCCTTGTATGCCGGCCACCCATGACTTGACGTTGACGTTGTTTTGCATTGTTGTAGTGTAGTGTAAATAAAAATAAAATAGTTTTTAGATTATAGAAAAGTGGAAATTGGAAAATGAAAATTATCTGCTTCTCATTCAAATAAAAGTGTCCTAATAATCACTATTTGATGAGATTTACTACCGAAAATAATAACTCATAGGAATAAACAGGTAACCCAATTTGTTGGTTGGCAACTTGGCAAAACTGGTATAATTTGTGGGTAGTGGTCGTAGTGGATGGTAGAATTCTAGGCTTTTGTGGGTCGGTTTCTCAGTAGCGAGTCACCTCCGGGTTGGTTTTAACTCCAGGGTAAACGTGTCCAGTTGCAATGTTTACCCTGGAGTATGTTTAACCCAGGGGTGACTTGCTATGGAGAAATCGGCCCTGAAGGTAAAGAAGATTCATGATTAGACATGAAAAGGCCCTTTTTGATCCACTTTGTTACATGAGCAACTAGGGGAAGCGTCACTTCATACCTACTACTAGAGTAAACCAAAGATACTTAGGGCTGGTTTCTCATTATCGAGTCACCCCCGGGTTGAGTATAAATCAAATCATAATCAAATCAAATAGGTATGCTTTATTGTCAAACACAGTTGTTGTAGACAATGCTATACTTAAGTGCTATAAAATATAAGCTGGCATATCAATAAAAAAAATAACACAAAATGTTTAGGTAACATACGAACCACAAGACAAAAAAAAAATTGAAAAGTTATTTATTATACAAGGGAAAAAAGTACTAGATTTTAGCGCGAGGTGTGGTTTGTTTGTGAAGCGGATGGAGACAAAACAGCAAGTGCTAAAATCAGGGATTGACCGATACATTTTTTTTTAAAAAAAACCGATATTGCCAATACCGATACGATATGGCTTTATAGAAGGCCGATACCGATATAAGGCCGATATATATTTATCTGTTTTCTCCAACCTTTTCCTTTAGTTTGAATGTTTTATTTATTTGTTTTCTCCTAGTTTTATTATTGTTTGTTCGAGTTCAGATAAACAGAAAGTTTTTTTTTTTTTTTTTAATAAATAAATAATTTTGAATTTGAGTTTAGATAAGCAGAATGTTAAGTTTTTTTTTTATATGAAAACCTAATTAATTTAAAATAAATTTATGAGAAACAATTTCTAATATTTACTTTCTTCTTAGTCACTCCCATATGTACCAACCAAAATTATTAGCTCTTTTAAGCTTCAAAAAAGCCTTAGTGATGATTACTGATCTTCAAAGTATGATTTGTATCGGTCTAAAGTTATCGGCCAATGAAGGGCCGATATGCCGATACACCGATATACCTGAAAAAGGCTGATACGCCGATATGCCATATCGGTATCGGTCGATCCCTGGCTAAAATCTTACTTTTTTCCCAAGTATAATACACTATTTTTTTCTGTGACGAAAAAATATCACCATTTTCCATCTATACATTTTTTTTTTCTGTGACCCTAAGTAGGTACTTATACTTTTTTCCCTTTGAGAAAAATAGTATATTGTTTAAACAGTGACGAAAATAGCATTTTTTGACGAGTAAACCACTATACTTTTTCTTTGACCGTGTTTTGCTAAGTAAAAGTTTTTTTTCACAAGGGTTCCTAGTTCCTACGTTATAATTTGCCTTCCTCTTTCTTATGAAATAAAAATAGAGTGAAATAAATTAATGTTTGGTGGGTTAGGACCATTTGAAACATATGTCTAATAAAGTGCTAAAAATAGAAAGTAAGACTTGATAACGATGATTATAATTTATTAGTGATTAAATTAATTTAATACAAACTTTGAATAGGTGATTTAATACTATAGGGCTGAGTATTATCATAGAATATTATAAAACTATTGACAAAAAAGTAAAAGTTAACTTCTGGAATTACTATGAAATTCCAGAAGTTAACTTCAGTTTACCCACCTTAAAACATATAAGTATTTTCAAATTTATTCTCTTCTATGGGCAAATTGATTAATAGTAACATTCGAACAATTATTTAAGATGATAGGGCTATTAGAAATAAGTTTTTCATGTATGGAGGTAGATGAGGAGATGTCTGCTTGGGTATTTATTATTGAACTTCTTGATGTAGATGGGCTAGGAAATGGCACTATAGGAGTTGAATTTTGCAACGATTGTAATATTTTAGATTGTATTTGTGATTTTCCCAGAGAAGATTGGTCAACATATCCCTCAGCTACGCTGCTAGATTTCCAACCACCGTGTTTCTTCAATTGAACCAAATCACCTCCTGCGTCGACTAATAGGGTCGCGGAACTTCTTTGGAAACAATGCCCAGTGTACTCTAGTGCAGCAGGTAAATTTAGATACTGGGCTACTTGCATTGGAAACTTACTAAATTTATTGATACCCACATATTGTTTGGTACATTTACCATTTTGAAAGTTTTCGAAAAATCTTGAATTAGCTTGATTCATTTCCGATGGACGAAGGTTGATATACTTTTTGGAAATATCATAGAAGAGTCCGGAAATATGGAAGGATTATGAAACTTTTGTTTTAGTGTTACGTATTTCCACTAATAGACCATTTCCAGTGTCTTTAATGTTATTTGTGGTCAAATCCTTTAATTCATGACATCTGCAAGCACCAGAAATTCCGAAAATTAAAGCAATCTGAAAAGTATCGATATTGAAGAAGGGTATAAAATACCTACATATTATATACATACATAATATTGGTATACTTAATAAAAATATATTACCTTAATCAATAAATATTTGTTGTCTGGTGCTTTTTGCAAAAAATTATTGATATCGTTGGCAGAGAGGATTTTTGATTTCTTGGACTTAAATCCGTCAGATTTTCGCTTCAAAAAAGCACACAACTTGGGGTATTTTTCAATATTTACGTCATTTTTAATAATTGATAATGTGGTTCTTAACATTGAATAGATGGACCATAAGGTCGATGGCTTAAAATTCTTCGCTAAATTCCCAAAATATACTAGTAAAACATTCTCTGAGAAAGAATTCACTCCATTTGTGGCTCTCCAATCCATGAATTTTGTATAAATTTGTTCATACCGTTCTTTGGATTTGGTTGGTAGTAATTCGTCCAAAGTGTTTTTAGCTATATTGGTGATTTCTGGAGGAGTACTGCTTAACTCAAAATCCTCTTCAGAACTAGAACTCATCATGATACACTTTTATGGTGAGAATTTCATACATCTGTCAAAACTGGTGTTCCAACAATTAACTGACATGTTTTGATTGTTGATTTGAACCAATCAGATTGCAATTACGCGATTATTTGCACTAGTGCAAATTAGGCTCTCCAAACCACGTGATTTTCCAATATGGCGAGCGTGGCAAATTTGACGTTTGTTTGTTTATCTTGAGTTTATTTGAAATATTTTCGAGCTAATTACAGTTTATTTTGTTATAATATACTTTTTGAGATGCAGAGTAAATATTCGAAGACTTTAGTGCAGGAAAATCGAGATGTGGGCGAACGATAAGTTTGAAAAAATGTCTAGTTGACATTTGTTTACATTTTGACCTAGTTTTTACAGCAATGAGCAAATGAAGGCCTATAAAAGCTTAGATTCTTACAAGTATTTCGAGTATGGCTTTATTTTAGATGCAGGAACAGTGGTACTGAATAATTTTTACGTTTTAATTGGAAAAATTTGAAAGGTTGGGCACTGAAAACAACCTGACATCATCCTTGTTGAAACGCCTTCTAAAATCAACTACAAGACACCTTTGTGACATTTTTAATTAGAAAAAAGCCTAATGAAGTCCATAAAATGAAAAAACAAATAGGGTTTAGTCACAAAACAACCACACAATCCACTTTAAAAAGCTTTAAATTGTGTACTGTCATATAGGAAATAAGGAACTTCCGCCACGAACGCCATTTTGGAATAGTTTTGACAGGTCGTTGGAATGCCTAATTATCAGATAATTGCATACTAACTGGTGCGAAAACTGATGTTTTGACATTTTTTGACAAAAAATTTAAATTTTTGACGAGGGGTCGACACCTCCTGACAGTAGGTGTACAAATCAGTTTACAGTACCTACAATATCTAAACAATACCGTCATAGGTTTGTAAAAATACCATGTATTTTCATAGCAATTGTCACAATACCTAAAATGACTCACAATACTTTCAAAATAGCTCTACAGTACTGACAATACTGAAACAATACCAAAAATCTGTCAAAAATACTTAACAGTATCTCTACAGTACTCACAATATCCGCCGACAATACTGATAATCCCTTGACAATACTAAAAGAATACGTGTAAATCGGGTTATGAGCTTTTAAAAGCGTTGCACCACATGACAGGCCAAGTGGCAGAGAGATGCATTCATTCGCAAATTCGCAATAAAATAAGTGAAGTGTCATATTGCATAGCGAAAGAAAATTTTTGAAAATGTATAGACGTGAGCATAAAAAAGGGACACCGATTTTTCTTATTGTAAAGCTTACTTTTCATGCATCCGTTTTTCCGTCAATCCGTTGATCCGGAAGTATTCTTATTGGTCCGATATTTTGGCGCCAAAATATTGGACTACTAAGAATACTTCCCGATCAACAGATTGACGGAAAAACGGATGCATGAAAAGTAATGGCGTTTCCGATTGGTAGATTTAGTGCGGAACTAGTGCAATTTTTTCTATTTCTGTCTTTTTCTTCTACATGTCGATTAAAAGGATGCAAATACACTCAGTGCGCACTGAATTTACCAATCGGAAACGCCATAAGCTTAAAACGGCCTCACCAGCTACACCGTCGGCAATGACAGGGATTGTCATGTTTGACAAAAAGCCGTTGTACAGAAAAGACTCGTTTACCCAAAATAGCGAAAAATGACAAGACCTGTCAGTCGGGTGTCCCACTTTTAATGCTCACGACTTTAGATAAAAGTCAAAATGACATTATGTTGGCAATACAATGTAAAATTGTCAATGCTTCAAATTTTTTATGTAGAAAAAGCTTATGTTGCCAACATAGTTACCTACTAAATTTTTGACTTGGGGAATTATTAGGTCTGTTTCTGCAGAAATCAAAAACCAGTCAGAGTGAATTTCATTAGTTGAAACTAGTTTGCTGACTGTTTCTGACTGTTTTCAACCAATGAAATTTGCTCTGACTGGTTTGTGATTTTTGCAGAAACAGACCTATCTTTAAAAAAAAAACAGACTC